ATTGGTAGGTAACATGGCTGAGGTGACCTAAACCCTGGATGTAATGAGCTGCCAGCCATGTTCTCCAGTTGAGCAGATCCCAAAGAACTGTGGGATCTGAGGTGGCACTGGTTAAGTTTCAACATGAAGAGGGGCGTCTTAGCATGCTGAGTGAACAGGCCCTTCTCTATCAATAGAATTGTCTTTAGCGCTTTTAGAATCATATTTTTGGTGTGAACCCTCCTTTTCCCTTTGGCGTGAAGATCCAAAAATGCATCTGTTGTTTTTCACCTTTTAGAGGGAATAGATTGTTTCTCCTTGCAAATACATCCAATCCTATGGGCCGAATAATCAATAGGCCCACTGTTTGCTTTCCCCCCTTTCCTACTGGATATGCTGTGCATTCAGCAAAGCTACTGTGTGGTAAGCAATGTAAATTAGGTCGATGTGTTCATTCTACTGTAGCCCAAGCCACAGCTCCTTGTATGTGTCGGTGGTGGAAGGGACTATACTACATCCCTCTTTTTTTACACTATGAATCACGTTAGTGAAAGACATAAGCATTGCCTTCAATGAAAAGGCTATGCGATGATGAATGTTTCTGCGTGATGTTGAATGTTGTAATCAGAATGCGTTGTAGCCGTTCTAGCAGTCAGCCAACAGAAATATTATATGGTGTGGCAGTTACAATGGTGCCTCCGGCTGCCATGAATAATACAATAGATGATAACCAACACCCGACATAAAAAGATGAAACACGTTTATAAGTCATTAGGGCCACATATTCACATTTCAGAGACCTGTAGCAATATACATCTGTTTGAATTGTACCTTGTCCAGTCGTTAATTGGGCTACTCAATCCAGGCTGTTTTATTATAGGCAATAGCCTACAACAAGATAACAAGTGAATGACTGATGCCTAATTTGCATTTCAGTAATGGCTGTTTATGGTTCATATTTTGTTTATGGTCATATTTCATTCTCTCGTAGCACTGCAAGTTATCTTGGTTGGACTGATAAGAACTCATATAATGTGCGAGCACAAGCGCAGTCATTTCACATCTTAATTCAATCTGATGTGATCCACCATGCATCTGTAAGTGGACAAGACGATAATGGGCACATTACACGATTTTCAGTTTCAACTAGACAAAAAATAAAAATCTCAACATGCAAGCAAGGGGGTTCTATAAATACAATTTGTAATCTGACTGCTTTACTCATAATTTGAAGGGATTTTTTGACCTTGCGGTGTTATAGCCTAGCTTTTCAAAGATCTAGGCGCATGACAGCTGTCTTTAGGAGATTCCTCACCTTTTCAGATAGCCCGCGGTGAGAGAAGCAATGAGGATGGGAGCATAATTGCACTAAAAACCGTACCGCTGCTCCCCATGGTATTTCTTCAAAGCCGATTCCCCAAAAGAGTTCAACAGCAATGTGATGCATTTAATGTATGGTAGGCTATACAAATATAGCTTAAAGTTTACCTTGAAGACGGAGCATCAGCCCTGTTCAATCTGGGGTAGTAAGCCTACCGCGTAAATTCTTCCCCAAATGCTGTTATGAGCGCCAAAACATTTTGACAGAATTCTGTGTAATGTAAATGGTGGTTCCTTGAGCGGACTCAGGTCTCCCAAAAATGTGCGCTGGATCCTAATATAGTCTGTGAGAATGGCCTTCGAAACCACCGATGTCCTTCAAGAAATCCATGACCATAGAAAGCAACATTCCAAGGTGGGAAATTCTCACTGGATGTTGGCTATCTAAAAGAAAACTGCAGGTGGATGAGGTCCCGCTATCGCTTTGAGGCTGCAGCTTTCCAGCTACAACACAGAGGATTGCCTCTGCGCATTTGGCCCGCATGAACCGTTTAATAGCAGAGAAAACGCCTTTGTAGCGATACGGCGCTGTCAACTGACTGCTGGTGCTGAATTCGGATCGCGCAGAAGTCAGATGTTCGCATCGCTTTTTCTCAGCAGGTCCGCCGGTGATATGCGGGCTCAATCAGACTGACACCCCACTAGATCACCTCTGTCATCCGGTCCGGGCGTCACACAAGTCGTGGACTATATTATCAACCTTTCCCCGTCAGCGAGCCAGCTCCATTTCGCGGGTGACCAGAGGTGCACTGCTGTGCTTGGAATGGTAATCGAGGGCACCCCCCAGCACTAGGGGCCATTTGTGCATTCATCCACAAACAGACAGACAGTTGCAATGCCTCCCAGCACAATCTTGCACCTGTCTACTGATTATTAAATGAGTAGGCTATGTATGAACTCAATTTCACATTTGACAATGCAGTGGCCCTACAGTAGGCTATATGGAAATACTGTATAATTCACCATGCTGTTATTCATTTATCATCACAATGATTATGAGCTTAACACATTTATGAGCAAGCGTTAAGCCAATTAAGCTCAATGATGTCATGCAGTGACATACAAACACAATCTAATTGGTTTATAATAAGAACAGATATGCTGCAGGCAGATCTGCAAACAAGCAACCACACAAATAACCCAAAATGTATAGGCTATTGCACATGTGGTGACATAATAGCCTTACAATGTGTATGATCTATTGGCAAACTGAAAAATGACCATATATATGCTAATTTCAGAAGCTTTCAAGAGATGCCCAGGTAGCTGGGTACTGACCTGACTACTTCTGCAGTCAATAAGGCCACAAGAAAATGACAGGTTGGCGATAACCATCTTGGCACTCCCTGCCCTGTCTCTTGCACCCACTCCTCAGGCTAAAGCACAGGGCTAGCCAAAGGCTATTGCTGCTGTGGTTATGTAACAGAGGTGGTTTGGTGAATCACAACCTTGCTTGAGACCTGAATACTTGCGTTAGCTACATGAGATAATGTCTAGGTTTTAGCCCTGCGGGCTTACACGGTATTGTGACGTAAAGAAGTGCAGAAGATGACCTGGAATGATACATCGTAAGTCAGATCATCTTCTGATCATATACTACACTTTTTCATGTTGACAAAGCCCATGTGCGATCTCTAAATGCATTCTCTTAACAGGAAATACCATCAGTCTCATTGTTTTTGTCCTCAAAACAAAGCCTTTCCTGACTCTTACCCCAGCTCCTCATAATTCACAAGGTGTTGGGTTTCATCTACTACAGAATTGCACTGACGAGTTCTACTGCAAATCAATATAGAGCCTCATTCAGCCACTGTATACAGGCAGGGTTCAGATCAATAGAGACAGTGTGTACCCAAGGTGTTGGAATGAAGGAATCTATGGTGATTCCAGGAGCCTTTACAGTTTTCATCTGTCTAATACATTCTGTAGAATGCAGAAAATGACATCCTGTTGTTGTATCTTTCATTACCTAGTTAATCAATAAAGGACATTGTGACAAGGCAACTGTGTCCCACTTGTTCATGGACCAATGGAGTATTAATATAATTCAATCAAACCTTCATACTCTATTGGACCATGAATAAGTGGTCAATCTGGAGGTGGAAGAAACGCAAACCTGGTTAGCCGAGGTACTGGCTAGCGGAGTAGAAAACTTGAAAAAGAAAAAGAGAACAAGTGGAACATAGCCTTGGGCCCTTGGCTTAGGATATGTATCTGTTTTGCATACTATGCCAGGAGGTCTGGACCCTATTGGCACATGTGTTAGTATAGTAACTACAGGGTCATAGTTCTAAGCCCTGCACTGAACCGGCTGTTACCCCTCAATCACTATATTATTGCAAATGAAATCATCAGAAAAACTAAACACACACTCCAGAACACCAATTTAATCACAAAGCGCCTTACAAAGCCCTGTCTTTACAATCTGTCTACATCAACATCTGTAATTGATTGGAACATTATTGCTTCATTGTTCACAACTAAACCACTCCTCCCTCCAAGGGCAAACTGCAACACATTGTCTGGTCTGCAGAGAGGGTCATCGGCTGCCACCTGCCCTCCATCGAGGACCTGCCCCCCCGGGGGAAGGAGGCAAGCAGGAAAGATCATTGCCTACCCCGCCCACCCCGGACACCCCATCTTCCAAAGACTCCCCTCTGGTAAACGGTTCAGGTCAATCATGACCAAAACAAACTGACAGCCGAACAGTTTCTTTCCCCGTGCTGTGTACCTCACCAATTGGCCATTTGGTCCATAGAGACTAAGGGACTATGCACTCTGTGCTGCGCACTGCATCAAGCCATCATTGAACTGTACATATAATAACTGCACTACCGTAATTGCACTCTGTTCAGCTCTGCACATTAACACTGTAAATAAACTGTATAGGCACATGTTGTTGCACTATATCACGGAGCATCCTTACCTCTGCACATATATATTTATAATGCACATTTGTATATCCTCTCTGTAAATTCTCTCTTACTCTATAGTTCTATGCCTACATTATCTATTTTGTATATAATATATGTAAACTTTGTGTAAATTCCTCTGTCTGCATTCTGTTTGCAATCTATTGCTAGTAGCACCATATCACCAAGTAAAATTCTACTACTTTTAAATTTACTTGGCGAAAAGGTGATTCTGATTCTTACAAACAACACATTGACAGACAGTTAATCCATTCACATGTTCATTTTATTTTACATTTTACATTTTAGTCATTTAGCATTTTATCACACGCAAAATTCCATTAACTGTTTCCTGTCGTTGAGGAGCTGTTTGTAGGTGAAGGAGTCAGCCCAGTCCCCTGTCCTGCTATTCTTATCTAGGGACAGGCCCATGCTGTCTCTGGGGTGGTGGCGGTGGTCTGCGATGCTGCAGCTCCACAGCGGCTCTGAAATCCCCAGCAGCTCACGCACATGGGCAGAGATGGCCTACAGGGGGCGCAACACAGGGAGGAGGAGCTGAGCCAAATCATAGGCTCGATCTGGGTCATATTCAGTAGGGTACGTTGTAGAATCTTCAGATAGAAGTGTATTGTATTTTAGAATAGACATGCCTCTCTGAAATGTACAGAGTGAGGAGATAATGGCAGCTCTATTCATAGTATTTCTATCTGCAATGTTCAGTACATTTACGTCATTTAGCAGACGCTCTTATCCAGAGCGACTTACAGTTAGTGAATACATATATATTTGTTTTATACTGACCCCCCGTGGGAATCGAAACCACAACCCTGGCGTTGCAAACGCCATGCTCTATCAACTGAGCTACATCCCTGCCGGCCATTCCCTCCCCTACCCTGGACGACGCTGGGCCAATTGTGCGCCGCCCATGAGTCTCCCGGTCGCGGCCGGCTGCGACAGAGCCTGGATTCGAACCAGTGGCACAGTTAGCACTGCGATGCAGTGCCTTAGACCACTGCGCCACTCAGGTACGTTGCACCCTGCTAATTACAGAAATGTTCAGGTGTGCTTGAAATGTAGGGATAACCCTAAATTAATAAAATGCTATGAATTATGGTATGACCATGCACATTAGAAATATAAACCCGGGTCCAGCTTAGATGCTACCCTTATGAGTTGGCCTATGAAATATGAATTATTCTCAGTGCTGAATCCGATTGTCTGCATTTGGCTGTGTATGATATATCATGCTGTGAGACCCATCTTGAATAATTAGCCTACCACTGAGATGGGAATATTGCCCAATGTTTTCTTATTTGGGTTGAAACAATCCTGCACACATTCATGGTGGCTCTCCCAGGACATTTTAGTGCCTTAATTACATTTTACATTTTAGTCATTTAGCAGACGCTCTTATCCAGAGCGACTTACAGTTAGTGAGTGCATACATTTTCATACTGGCTCCCCGTGGGAAACGAGCCCACAACCCTGGCGTTGCAAACGCCATGAGTATAGCCTATATGTAGCCTAGACTATTTCTACTTTACATTCAGACCTTTTCGTTCAAAATCACTCTATTGAAATTTCAATAAGTATTCAATGCAGGCTTAGAATCTGAAAGCTTCTCAGCTTCATCTCCCTTTACCTTCATATCCTCAAAGTCTGTGATTCCTAATCTTGGCAGATCGCGGCAATTTACATAAATCAGCTTTTTTATGTGTAATGAGGTTCTCAGTGAAACAGGCCTGGGTTGGATAAAGACAGAGTCGTTGAATATTCTCCATCAGCAAAGTAGACTGCTGTACACTAATGTTAGGCAAGCAAAAATAAAAATGGAAAAGTTATTTGGCATTGTAAAGAAATGAGTAACTTCATAAAACAATGTGATAGCTCACTCACTGTATAATGTGGATATCCTAAGGATCCTATCCATTTTGCCACGGCCTTGCAACTTCAGTGAAGGAATTCCGTCTTGCCTGTGTGCGTGTTTGTGCGTGATTGTGTTACCATAGAAACCGTCACATGTCAGGCTAGGTTGAAAGTGTTTATGTCATCTTCAAGCTAGCTGTCAGGAAAGAAGCTAATGTGGCACAGTCACAGTTTTCCATTGGGTCACATTACATTGCTCACGCCTGAATATAACATGTTAGGTATAGAAATAGGTTCAAATGCATCCTGATGTAACTTATTTATAGCAGTAAAACTCAGACCAAGGCCACATTATAAAAAGTGTAATCAGGATTCAAGTAATTTAGTGATTTATTGACTATGCTCTATTCTATACTATTATAGTTTATTCTACCTTATTCTATATTGCTTAAATTACTTAATTTAAAGTATGATCCGAAAAAACACCAGTTCTCACATGATACTTCACGCTCTGTTGGATAAGAAAAAAAGTTTTGTAAGGTAGAATGATGCACTCGATTTTGGACCAATGAAAGACATGTAACAGAGCTGGGGCGGGCACTAATTGCAATGGACAAATGAGTTCTGCATGGCTCGGTGTCCTGGGTAAGCGAATTTATACATTTTAGACCATTCCATTGGTCCTTACGTGAAATCAACATTTCCCGGAGAACCGGACCATGCAAAACGAATTTGCCCATTGTCAACGACGACTTGGGGCCTGTTGCACAAAACTAGGATAAGGGATTAAGCCAGGATATCTTGGTGATCCTGGCTCAATTGATCCGTAATCCGGTTGCACTAAAGATGGATAGGGGGCAGGAGGATATGTTATGGTATAAATTACCATGGAGATTTATTCTGTGGAGCTAGCCTGCTCCAGACCAGGCTAAATTCCAGGATCTATTTAATCTCATCCCTAATGTCAGTCAGCAGTCACCACAAATGGAAACCAATAGTTATTTCACTGCTCACTATACATTGTTATCACATATAACTAGACCCACTGTCATTATTTAAACGTTTGTGATCATTAATTTCAATGATTTTGGATAAAAAATGATTTTTAGATGATGTTGCTATCATTAGATAATTTACAGTTTCCCATAGACTATAAGGCTATATATAAAATGATAGAATATTAGGGCCACAGAGGGGAAAAAAACACAAGTCATAATATTGTAACCAGTTGTTTTAAAGGAGGACAGTTGTTAAAATGACAGATGTGGGGCATTTCGTGAAATTGTACTTCAGTATGGTTTCATAAACAAAGACATGCTGATGTGCCAGAATATTAAGTATCACATTGTCATAAGTATCAAAACTGTAAAAACAATATGTAGCTTTTCTGCAGAAAGAACCAGCCTCATAAATTTATGACTTTATCCTTTTTCTTCAGTGTGGCCCTAGTACTCTGTCATATAAACAAATACACATTCCATATGAATATAAAAACACAATGTGTAACATTATGTTCCTTTATTGAATAAGGACAAAACAAAGCAGGTAAACCATCAGCTCCTTTCGAAACTGAAGTCACAGTGACTCTACAAGATGGAAAGCACAGAATCCAAGCATATTATACATACACATTCAAAGGTCTGTATAGAACACACCCTGCATGTCTGCACACTAAAATAAATGCAGGACAAATCCATACACATCAACTGAACAGACAAATGAATGGATGCAGTAGCCTCCCTGCAGCCTTGTATTACACACAGTATACCGCACAAACATCATAAGAGGCCAAATTCGTAAAAAAACGAACCCAAAAAAACCCAAATTCCTCTGCCACCGCAGGACATATTTAACCAAAATTGAAAGCACACATACTAACTAAAATAATTCAACACATATTGGTCCCTCAGCAGCCGACCACTGTCGTCATCAGGGAAGATTGCCGGATTGTCCCAGTCCATGGCTGGTGGCACTCTGGGGGCCCTCTCCTTCCTCAGGCAGGCCACATTGTGGAGGACAGCACAAGCCACAGTAATATCACATGCCCTAACAGGGCTGACCCTTAATTTGTGAAGGCAGTGAAAGCGTGCCTTCAGGAGGCCAAAGGTCATTTCAACTCTGGCCCTGGTATGGGCATGGTTGTAGGCCTGCTGTGCTTCCTGGGGGTCTGTGAAAGGTGTCAGGAGAAAAGGCTGGCAGCCATACCCCCTGTCTCCCAGCAACACACCAGAGAATTCACCTGTCAACACAAAATCTCATCATTACTACCTCATAAACACAGTGATATTCTTGACACAGCCATGATGGTTATAAATAGGGGTTGTGTGGCTTACCTTGTGATAGGCACTGATAGATTTCAGAGGCCCGAAAGATTCTGGAGTCATGGACTGAGCCAGGCCATTTTGCCACAACATTGCTGATCACACAGTCAGCATTGCAGACCATCTGAAATCATAAGATGAGGAATATTACACCAATCAATGCACATCACTGGCAATGCAGAGTGTTCGTCAATGGACAATATCAAAAAGTTATGTTCACCTGAACATTAATGCTGTGAAAGGATTTCCTATTCACAAAATCGGCCTCATGGGCACCTGAGGGGGCTTTTATCCTTATGTGTGTGCAGTCCACTGCACCAATGACATTGGGGAAACCTGTCACACAAAGTAATGAGTATCCTACTATGTGTTAACAGTTGTCCTGTAATTTGTAGATCCTCTTACCTGCAATCCTATAGAACTCCTCTTTGATGTCACAGAGTCTTCTGTGGCCAGGGAAGGAGATGAAGACATCTGCTAATGCTTTGATAGCCAGACACACACTCCTTATTGTGCGGCAAATTGTGGCCTTGTTCAGCTGTTCTGCATCCCCCACTGAGTACAGGAAGGCTCCACTAGCAAAAAAGCGCAAGGCCACACAAACCATTTGCTCCACACTCAGTGCATGGCTCCGTGCAGTGCGGTGCTTAATCCTGGGACCCAGTAGTCTGCATAGATACCTGATGCCATCTGCAGAAAACCTGTATCTTTCATATAGATGGTCATCAGGGAAGGCCAGTGGGTCCAACCGGTCCCTGAAGACCCTTTCTCGCCTGAAGGCTCTCCTCAGCACAAGTGCTTCTTCATCCACCACATCTCGCACGAATGGGCATGCCATTGTCAGAGCAGAAAGGAACACACAATTTTGGGCCTTCATATAGGCTAGTGGCCACACCTGGTGCTGGGGGGGTGGGCAAAAGAGGGCGATGCCTTATAACGATGACTTGGTTGTACTGATTGCTGGGAAAATAAAAAAAACCTTAGAAAGATGCCACCGTCCTGTGTGCTCACAATAAGAGCTCATATGTCATGGCTCACTTGACTTTACGAGAATATACCTAATTTTTATTTTGAGCTGTGTCATCTTCTTGGAGCTGGGGGAGGAAAGAAAAATAATGATTAATACATTTGTGTTACAGTTAGCATACAGTGTACATTGAAGGCATATCTCACCTCCCTCTCAAGTTTTTTTATTTCAAGGTCCAGTTTCCTAATTGTCCTCTTTTTTATTTCGGACTCCAGTGCAAGATTTTCCATCTTTTTCTTCTTGTACTGAATGTCTATGTCTGCCAGTTCTATTTGGCGCCGGAGGTGGTTGCCATACAACTTTCTGATAGCTTGTGAGCTCTGTGAACACAATACAATTAGCACAGCTGGAATTTGGCAGGATGTGGTGTCCTTTTATTAATACGCACTATGTTGCCAGGCTGGTTTTCCCACTGTATAGCATCTGGGTCCTGTAAAAGAAATTAGATTTTTTGATTTTGATGAGGACTCCTCACCATTGTAGAGTAAATAGTACTTTCACAGTCTTAACATGATACCTCATGCCTTCTGGAATCCAGAGAGATGGTCTCCTCCTCATCATCGTCTCCATCATGTGCTGTTGCTGCTGCACTGGGGCCTTCACCCTATCACATTTAATCGGATTCATATTGAAGCTAGTAGACAAGACATGCCAGGCCTACAGTATGCCTTTGATGGAGTACTCACTGGATCAGCATCGTCTGGTGCTTGTGCTGGTGGCTCTAACAGGAACACAGTGCTGCCAGACACTGCAAGGCAATAGGTAAACCAAAGTCAGACAGTCCAAATTGATTCAATATGAATGTGGTTGTATCCCATGTAGAGATGGAAGGACATACCTTGAATGAAGCGGGTGGCATCTTGGGAGGAACCTATGCTCGTCTCTTTCCCCCCAGGGATCCCCTCTAAGACGGGCCTGCCTTTATTTAGCTCCAAGGCCATGTCCTCTGCTGGGGTAAGGTCAGCCTTTGGTGACCCACCACCCGTGCCTTGTCTGTGGGTATTCTTTTTCACTGCTAAAACAGTACAGACAATGTGTGAGCAGGCACCTTCTGGGTACAATATATGCTTGTGCTTTGTTAAATATTAGTCAGGGACCATACCATTCTGCAGAATGTTCTTGTATTTGATTTTGACCTGCTGCCATGTCCGTTTTGGCCCGTTCATGTTTAATCTACACACACACACACACACACACACACACACACACACACACACACACACATTTAATGGAGTCACACTGCAAAAAATTACTTGGTATTTTTGTCTTGTTTTCAGTAAAAATATCAAAAAATGTATCATAGCTTTATACAGTGTGATGGAGTTACTTTACACAATTTCACTCATATCTGCAGTGCATTTCAATTAAAAATTTAACCGTTTCATAATTACAGTACAACTGCATTTTTGGAGATGTGAATTAAATATTTGAATTGTCATTGTGATGTTTCAGCGGAGCGGTGAGTGTGTAATTGTGCACTACTTACGCATTCAGGCGGTCTGCAATACTTTGCCACGCTTTTTCTCTTTGCTTTATCACTGTGGCGGTGTTGCCTTTCTTCTTAATTATATCTTTTACCTCCTCGTATGCCTCCATGAGGATTTGTGCTTCCGACGGGGAAAAGTACGCGGCTCTAGTTGCCATGGTAAATCAGTTAATCTGTGATCTGTGGCGGGGTCTATTTGAGTGAGCCGTGAGCGCGCACCTATCCAGGATTGGTTTCACCTGGCTTAATGAATCCGTGTCTGCTCATCCTGGCTTGGTCTTTGTGCAACCAATTAAGCCTGGACGCACATGTTTTGGCTTCATTGAGCTCAGCTGAGTCATTTATCCCGGATGTCTTAATTCTACTTTTGTGCAACAGGCCCTTGGTCCCTCTCATGAAAGGCCAGCCAATCCGCCTCATACATTTTGTGTTGTGTTTTTGTTTTCGCCAACTGATCTTTTCTAAGCGTTTGTCCTCACAGGTTGTCCTCTTCACGGGAATCTAGCATGCCCATTTCACAGAATAATTGAGTATCTGCTGCATTTATCAATGTGGCTAACCTTGCTGAAAGATCAAATAAAAGGTGCAGCTTTTGGTCTTTCTACGTCCTCAGTCTGTTTGACTTCATGAATGTGTGACTGCTAGCTAGCTAACCTTATCAGTGTCCAGATGTGTCTGTTTTGGGACTGTGTACTTTGGGCTGAAAGCAATCAGTCTCTTCTACCATGGCAGGGATTCTAGCGAGATTGTTATGGAGCAAAAAGGTAAACCACATTCCTCGTGCAGCTTTTCTAGCTAAATGCATTGTTTTATACTTGAGTGGCTAGCTAGCTATATAACTTGCTAGCATAGTAGCATGGCACGGTAACTAGTTAGCTAAGTATCGCCACACTTAGTCTAAGCATGCATTTACGATTATATTTCCCATTTGACATTGCAACATGTAACGTTAGTTACTTAGCTATATTCTGTAGCATGTGGTCAATTAATGATTAACAGCTTGGACGAGTTAGCTCGCAAGGTCAACTAACTAGCGTCAATGACACAGTTAGTTAGTTTAGCTAACTAGTTAGCTAGCATGCTTGCAGAAGTTTAGGGTTTTGGATCTTAGCTAGCTAGCCAATGGAAACTTCACATTGAAAAGTGATCCTCGTGTGTTCTCTCTTCAGGCACCCCTTCAGATGGGTCGCATGTGTTATATGTGCAATCTTATAATAACTAGAGTTATGAATGGTCGTATGTATACTGTAGCTAGCTATCTAAGACTTGTATTAATATATATGCTCATGCAATCGACACATGCACGGATATGTTGATTGACATGGTCGATGACATGTCCATTGTGAGGTTGTCATTTCCCTGTCTTCTTGCAGCCCACCACCAAGCTGTTCATTGACAGCAAGTTTGTTGAGTCCAACACCTCAGAATGGCTGGACATTCACAACCCTGTAAGTATCACTGCTTACACACACACACCACACACCACACACAACCCCGTAGGTAGATCAGTCATGTTAAGTAGGCATGGGAAACGAGAGAAAATGTTTATTTGAACGGGGAGATACTACAAAAACGTGTCTAATAAAATAGCTTATTTTAGTTTTCTCTGTATTGAAGTCTCTGTTCTGCGACCGCTATCTCCTTGCACCACAAGTATTTGACCCTCTTCCCACCACTTGTATGTCTTGTATGTCACGTCTCTCTACCCTCTAGAGGTGGCAGAGCACGCCTGCAGCATCACCTCCCTGATGCTGGGGGAGACCCTGCCCTCCATCACCAAAGACATGGATACCTACACCTACCGCCTGCCCATTGGGGTGTGTGCTGGTATTGCCCCCTTCAACTTCCCTGCCATGATCCATCTGTGGATGTTCCCCATGGGTATGGTGTGTGGCAACACATACCTGATGAAGCCCTCCGAGCGCGTCCCAGGATGCACTATGCTGCTGGCCAAGCTACTGCAGGACGCAGGGATGCCCGTCGGGAACCTGAACATCATCCACGGACAGCACGCTGGTAAGAGGGTGTGTGATGAGTCTTTATAAAACATGCTATTGAAGTGTGTGTGTGTGTCCTGTTTCCCAGGATGTAAGGAAAAACCAGGCTATGCTGATCATGTGTGTTAGTTAATGCCTGAGGTATATCGGTAGTTTTTGAATGGTCCTGTAGACCCAGCACTTTATGTTAAGTAAACGCTTTACATAATGTGTGTGTAGGTAAATGTGTTTAAGTGCCCTAGGGTGTAGCAGTCAATATAGGAAACACTGTTTTTTTGTTGCAGGTTTTATTTCCAAGGTGATTATACCACCATCTTGTGCCCTTACAGTGCCATGTAAATAATGATGATGAGTGGAATGATATGACCTTTGACCTCTTTCCATAGCTGTGAACTTAATCTGTGACCACCCTGCCATCAAGGCCATCAGCTTCGTGGGCTCCAACCAGGCAGGAGAGTACATCTACGAGAGAGGATCCAAGAACGGCAAGAGAGTGCAGTCCAACATCGTAAATATGATAACCGACAACCGTTCTATGAATAGGGAACCCTTAGACACTTAGGGAAATATGTCTGCCTTAAATGGTTTACAGTGCCCTTAACCATACTGCAAGATGACTAGTTCTACTACATTAGCAATACTGAACAAGTAGATGGCTAAACGTCCTTGAGGTTTTTTTCTTGAGTTTCTTATTGCTTAGGTCTTTGCACATTCCTAAAACGCATGGCAGTAAACCTACCAACCCTTGTATTCTGCCTCATAGGGCGCTAAGACCCACGGTGTGGTGATGCCTGATGCAAACAAGGAGAACACTGAACCAGCTAGTGGGCGCGGCCTTCAGCGCAGCAGGACAGCGTTGTATGGCTCTCTCAACCGCCATTCTCTTACGTGAGGCTCGTGATTGGCTCCCAGGGCTGGTGGAGCGCTCCAAAGCCCTGCGCGTCAATGCAGGTACCTCGCCCTTTTACCTAAAGGACTTTCACTACCCTGTGTGAATTTCTGGTATATGACTTGTTTTGTTTTTTTCCTTAGCAAAACTTCTTCAAAATCAATATTTTCCCCCTATGTGAAAAAAACCATACATTTCAAATAGTACATCCAATATGACTGCCAGCGCCAGTCCACATACTGTATCATTGCTCAGAATTGGTTTGTCTGTTCAATGAGTTGTAATTGTATTGGGGGGGGGGGGGGTGTAACCGACCTGGCTTTGAACCTGGGTCAGCTGAGTGATTGATGACTGTTAGCACGCTTAGCTATAGCCTAGGTTTCCACATCTACAAACTATTCAGGTTACAGTATTGCATAGATCATGTAGGTTTTGGTGAACCATCTCCACTACACTTGGAAGGGTCTTACATCAATGGAGCATGTCACAACAACGTTGAACCTTGGTACAGTAGAAATGACACTTTGACATAAGGTAAAAAAAAATATTCACATACTTTTGACATACCGAGCTGCAGTAGCTCTGTTACAGTAACCTGCAGGACTAGCTAACTAACTAAAGCCCCTTCTCGTGGGTTAATAATGTCTGGCTGGAGTTAGAGGCCTGACTTGACCAGTGATGTCTGTCTGCTATATGGGGAACTTGTCTGATAAACAATTAGTCACATATTAATGGTTGTGTAGTCTTGTCCATATGGAGGAAAGATAACCAATATTTCAACACAAAGTGCCTTTGTCAACCTGGCGTATTCAGCTCTAATAATACGTTTTGACGTATGTCGATTGGGGGTTTTCAGCTGTTGGTTCCCACGGCAATGATGAGTGTGATGCATACGTGGCGGCAGGTAGCTTAGTGGTTAAGAGCGTTGTGCCAGTAACCGAAAGGTCGCTGGTTCTAATCACCGAGCCGACTAGGTGAAAAATCTGTCGATGTGCCCTTGAGCAAGGCACTTAACCCTAATTGCTCCTGTAAGTCGCTCTGGATAAGAGCGTCTGCTAAATGACAAAAATGTAAATGTAATATGTGCAACTTTCTACTTTTTCTCATGTTCATTATCCTTCAGGTTTTTGCGTGTACATCTTTGACTCGTACAGTTCTATGTGTATTCTCTTCCATAAGCATTATGTCATACCACTTCACCTATTGTATTGGATCTCACCTGTCAAAGCTTCTTTGCCTTCAACTCATTTGGCAGGTCTACAATAGTAATACATAACAGTCCCCTCCGTCTCTATTTTTGACATAATATCATATAGCACAGGGGTTTCCTAACTTTTTCACTCAGGCCCCCCTTCCAACATTGGGGAACATCGCTCGCGCCACGTCTGTCTATGGGCACAAGCGCTGCTCATGACACAAACTGTTCACACCCCTCTTGTTGGCGGAGAGAACATTTTGTGATGGGGTGTAGAGAAAATGTTGCAGTTTTAAAGCAAATTTTCTTGCAATTCTATACATTTTGCCATGTCCAATGTGTATTCATGTGATATTTGAGTGACTCAAACATTACAACAATCTATGGGCTAAAAGTCGTTAGCTGACATGGGCTAGTTGATCTGGACATTTATGACACGTTATAAATGGCTCTCTAAGGTATGCAATGACTGACATGACAAGATGAAAACTGATGATGCACTACTTAATGTCAGGCATTTTCGCCCCAGCCAACGATGAAGTGCTACACGGAGAACATCTTTGGGCCGGTGCTGGTGGTTCTGGAGGCTGACACTCTGGATGAAGCCATCTCCCTGGTCAACAACAACCAGTACGGCAACGGAACCGCCATCTTCACCACCAACGGAGCCACCGCCCGCAAGTACACACACGAGGTGGATGTTGGACAGGTGAGCCATAGTTCAGAGACTTCCGGTAGGTGCTTGGGGAAGTAAGACTTGTGTGATTGATGTCCAACATTGCAAGTAGTTTCCCATTGATAACTTCATTTCTAGATAGATGGGTGACTATGCAGTGATTCATACCTTGTGGTAACTCTGTGAGGATAATTAATGTCACTTTCATTACATTTTAGCATACGCTCTGGGAGCGACTTACAGTAGTGAGTGCATACATTTTAATTCGTACTGGTCCCCCGTGGGAATCGAACCCACAACCCTGGCGTTGCAAGTGCAATGCTCTACCAACTGAGCCACACGGGATCATCTCTTGTTCACAGCACTATTTTTGCGTGTGTGCAAGTCTTTGTCATGGGTCGATAAAGGTGTAATTTGTAACATTGGGCTCTATAATTCATAGTGGATGTGCGCGACTGTGTGTGTTAGGGTTTAATAGCAGGAACCGGGTTACCGAGCATTCCCGGCCAAACCATCCTAGTTTCCCGAGATAAATAATGTTGAGAAACCAGTACATTTTATAATAAATTATTCGAATGAACAGCGTGACGTGAAACTGACTTAAATTACCGTAACCTCAAATTTCAAAACCGTCACAGCCCTAATCACAACTGGTGAGAGGATATGCAGAGATTCAAAAATACAAAATGTACACATGCGGCTTCATTCAAACATTTAGACCAGTCATCACAACGCGAGCAGCCTACCATATTTACTCAACAAAGTCCCCAATAGGAAATATCTCTTAGGCTACTGCATAGCTTCTATACATTTTAATTGCTTACTATATGTGCAGGCTAAACGCAACATCTCAACGCAGTTATGGTAGATAACGTCCAATCTCCAGCTCACATTGACAGTGCCACACGTTAGTTTGGAGATTTCAGAGGCTCAAAATATAAACTGTTGCTAATCACAACGGCTGATACTGTGTCCACAAAAGCGCTCGAGGAAATAGAGATTTGCAACATTGTTTCATGATGTTATGCTAAACAAAAGTGAGCGCACGGTGGACCTACTGGTTAGATTTGCGATCAACTGCGACGTCCATGGTGCTGAATCTCCGATGGCCTAGGGCTACTATTAGTTTATCTGATTATTTAGGGGATAATCTGAGTCACCACAATAAACGGTTTATCATACAGTAAAAATAGCCACAACCTTCCCAAATTCCCTCTGGGAGAATATTAAACCCTACTGTGTGTGTTTTCTCATTTGGATTGGAGTGAACGTGCTCATCCCCGTTCCTCTGCCCTGCCCATGTTCTCCTTTACCCGCTCCAGAGGTTCCTTCAGGGGCGACACCAACTTCTATGGCAAACAGGATAGCTCACAACACCGGCAACAACCAGCACAAGCCCCCAACTGTTTCTCACCCACCGATCATATGACCATATTGATCCTAATTAATAGTTTCTGCAGTCAACTATGCAGTGTGGGGTGGACATTTTCTAGTGTTGATGGTCTGCTCCTCTTCTCTGTGTTCTGTCTCTACAGGGCATCCAGTTCTACACTCAGATCAAGACTGTTACGTCACAGTGGAAGGCCGAAGACGCCACCACGAAGAGCCCAGCCGTTACCATGCCGACCATGGGATGCTAAACGGAATGTATGCTTGTAAATGTGGTCTCTTCCTTGCACAACGTTCTACATACTACTGACTGATGCCTTAACGTTCAGAAGGGGTTAACAGCCAAGGGGTACTAACAACTGATAAGGATTGCAGTCATGGAATATGTTTTTTCTACAGAGTGTACTATATGAGCAACGATTTTGGAGTTTGACCCTGTTAATGAAATTGCTTCCTGTAGGGTGATGGCAGATTGTAATCTGAAATGTGTTGTTACTGTAGCAACAAATCCTCTGTTCAAACACTAGCCATATGCTGCCCCTGGGAGTCACATGAGAACGATGGACTAGGTGGAATGCAATGGGTGAGAGAAGGCCTCTTGCCACTAGGCAAAGATCTAGGATCAATTTACTCCCCTCGCATCCTAACTTTAACCATTAGGAGGAGAATAGCGGGACACAATAGATAAGCTTCATCCCAGTCCCTCGTGGGCATTAGTGTACCCAATCTGTGAAACGGAGACACTGGCTATGTTTCCGTCCAATTGGCGATAGATTTTCATGCGAATATTCTAAAATCCGCATAAAAACAATATGCGAATTTTCTCACCAGAGGTGTTTCCATCAAATTGACTTTTTTGTGAGTTAAAGGCTGTGCTTTATGACGTGGTGCACATAAAAAAATGACCGTTTGCAGTTAAATTCCCATGTACCGAACAAAGAATACAATGTAAATGGGTTTCCGTCGCATTTTCTACTCTACTTATGGTTTTGTCACATCAAATGTTGCATTATATAGTGAATGTGCCCACTCTGGTCTTAGCATGTGCGCTCTAGCCAATAGCTTGCAGAAACAGTGCTGATATAGCCTACTACATGAGATTATTATGGACAAAAGAGCGCAATTGACAAATAAAAATCAACTGCAGCCAAGCATCAGTCATCATGTCACGAGACCCTCAGTATTTATTTGAAAGGAGCATCAATCTCAACACCGTTTACTTCCACCACCCTGTGAAGTTCATCACTTATTTCATCTGTAGCCTAATAAAACTGCCTGTTTTCTTGAGTCGTAGTGGAAGGACCACACAACATATCATCACGTGATTTCAAGTTTACTTCGATATGATGGTTATTATATCAATATTTGCGCATAAAGGCGTTTCCACTGCCATTTCTCATATAATACATTTTACAGACACAAAAAGATCCCACCTTTATCTAGCGTATTTTGTTTTGTTGACATTTCCATCAGGCTTGTCAAGTTTTTTTAAACATCTGAAATGTGCTTTATTCGCATAAAAATGTTGGATGGTAACCTGGTTATTGACACTCCGGTCAAATGATGGTTTCTACAAATGTGTTTTGTGCTGACCGGTGTCTGTGTTAGTATTTCTGATAGTCTACATTAGAAGAATCCAATTTTTGTTACGTTATTGAGCAGTGATGCACGCTGTTTTACATGGAATAAAGATTCCAATTGAATAATGCTGCTAAGCATACTTCTTCCTATGCCTCATCATTGAGCTCTATATCAATCAATTATTCAATCAAATGTATTTATAAAGCCCTTTTTACATCAGATGTCACAAAGTGCTATACAGAAACCCAGCCTAAAACCCCAAACAGCAAGCAATGCAGATGTAGAAGCACGGTGGCTAGGAAAAACTCCCTAGAAAGGCAGGAACCTATGATGAAACCTAGAGAGGAACCAGGCTCTGAGGGGTGGCCAGTCCTCTTCTGTCTGTGCCGGGTGGAGATTATAAGAGTACATGGCCATTTAAGGCCAGATTGTTCTTCAAGGTGATCAAACGTTCATAGATGACTAGCAGGGTCAAATAATAATCACAGTGGTTGTAGAGGGTGCAACAGGTCAGTACCTCAGGAGTAAATGTCAGTTGGCTTTTCATAGCTGAGCATTCAGAGGATGAGACAGAAGTTGCGGTAGAGAGAGTCGATACAGCAGGTCCGGGACAAAGTAGCACGTCCGGTGAACAGGTCAGGGTCCCCTAGCCGCAGGCAGAATATTTTAACTGGAGCAGCAGCACGACCAGGTGGACTTTATATACTGCAGCTATAACTAAATGGTTATCTCTCAAGCATGAATCTGGGGAAAACATGTTTTGTAGAGAAGTTGTAAATGCTGGTATTTGCGAGTCAGACACCATTTAGAGCCACACTTTGATGAGTCGTTAAGCTTTTTGGTCCCTGAAGTTCTTAATTATATGTTCTTTAGACCCCGAATAACACATGCGACTGGTAGATTATATGGATGTTTGCATTTTGTAACTTACATAAACAAAACTACATAAACAAGCTCTGACACAAGGCCATCAGCATTGGGTGTTGCAAGGTGTTTTTGGCTACAGAGCTTGCTTTTCTATTCATCAATAACAGACTCCTGACCAGGGCCCAGCGATTTTCCTAGCAAACCTTAATCTGCTGTCTGGTGGTTATTTGGGGTGTAAAAACCATTCTATATAGACATTGTGAACAGTAAAGTGTCAGAGTTTCAAACTTTAGGATTACAAGATCTGTTCATAGCCTAATCCTCACAATCTCACACACAGGCAATAGTTCCATAAACAGTGAAGGCATTAAGACTGGTATTTTGCTGCCTAAGAAATTCCTCTGTTTCGACAGACAGACCATTATACTTGTTACAAAATCCCAATAATAGAAATATGCTTCTGCTGTGCTGGCACAAAACTAATTACAGTGAGTTTCTCTTGACTGCATTGGACATGCTGAAAATTGGTCTTGTGGGCTCATTGTTTCGTTTTCTCAGCATGTTCCGGGGTGGGGGGAAAAGGAAACTCGGGCATCGTTCTAGAGCTCCAACTTTCCGACCTGAAGATCATCGACTTCATGATTTCACTTCCCCCCCCTTAGAGTTCCCAGTTGTTTTGCGGCATCTTGTGCCAAGAGCCATGAGGTGACGTTCATGAGCATAACATTGATGACGTAGTTATGCCCTACAGTTTAGCTGTCAAACAAGCTAGCTAGCTTGATAGCAGGTGGATGTTGACATGAATAGTGAAATCGTTAGCTAGCTTTTATGTATTTTTATGGCTGTGACTACCTTTGTTGCCCGAGAAGAAATGTATATCATTTGTTTTCTTTGCAATACATTTTGTGGTTTCTTCGGAAGAAGTCGCCTGTTAGCTAGCACGTTATTTGTCAATTGGTAAGTCGTGCAACAGCATTGGTCAACTGCATTCAGAAATTAGCTAAAAATAAACTTTTGTGCCTATTTTATTACCAACATTTATTTACATACCATGCCGCTATAAAGGTAGCAGCTATCGTTTCTTTATTTGCATGCAATGTAAGTTAGCTAGCTAGCACAATAATGTGTTAATTAAAGAAATGTAGGCGAGCCTACAGCTTTAATGTCTAACGACCAAGGTCAGGACCATGTTCAGAGGTAAACTGGCTCTGGAAGCTAAAACAGCCAAATACTCCCTCTAAACATGAATCGATTCTCAATTGCGATATGGTCTTAGAAACATAAGATCATCTACTTTCATAACACATCAAAATAATTTCACAAATGCAAAATAGTCTAATAAAAAGCATGAGCTGGCGCACACCCAGATAAAATTATTTAGTGTAGAGTTGCTGACTAACGGCGAATAATATGTAAGCTATAAAAACAGAGAGTCGCACACTCCATGTATATAAACTCCCAGTAATGTATTGGGTAAACCACCAACGTTTCGGCATCATTGTGCCTTCTTTAGGGTAATGTAATGAATGCTTGAACCAGGTTATGTAGACAAAGAGTGCAATTAGTGCAACCAATGACAATAGTGAGGGGTGTGTCATAATTATTAGGTTGATTAGAATGTATTGATTGAAACTGTTAAAAGACAATAGTTTACAGCATATTGAATATATTAGGCTATTGTTATCATTAGCATTAGCATAGGATTAGCATCAACATACATTGTTTAATTTAATTTCACATATATATTTAATTGTTTCCAATTTCATTACATTTTTGTTACATGTAATCTTTTGGTTCAACCATAACGCACAATAAGCATCATCAACAGGGGGAACATATTGGGTGTACGCAAATAAACTGTATAAATAATATATTCATTTATAAGACTTGTTCATAGAAAATATGTTGTTTTTATAGCTTACAAATGCTAAATATACACTGTACTGTAAACTGTTTTAGTACAGTTGCAGCTGACAGTATTTTCCCATTACAACACTATTCTGGTGTCCTTCCATTACACACAGGTGTTCGAGACGCTATAGCTAATTAGAACAGGTGGTTGCCTCTGTCTTCTGGTAAACAAGCGTTGTAACATGGACATGTGGGAACCCTAACGCTATACAGGTGTGTAGTAATTCAACCATTTGTTATATGAAACAACTTTATGGATTATATTAAAGTAAACTTCCAATGGTTTCTAAAACCGCATTGCAAGCAAGCATTATTAAAGTGTAGACAAAGCTTCAGGACTATTGTAGACAATCCCATGCTGTTTTCAGTGCATCAACTGAGAACCAAAGAGGAAGCCCTCTGGTGAACGAGGGCTAGCAGCTAGCTAGCGTAGTCTTGGGAATTTGTCAGCACTGCAATGGAAATTTGAAAAGAGAAGCCTTTAACAGCCTTGCTTTTTAACAGGATCAATTCAGAACTATTTATATTCTTGACAGCTCCAGCCCTAGTCAGAGCAGCGTTGTCGTTTCATCTGTGATATGGTAGGTTTTCTATGGGGTTAGCCTATGTAACATGAGGTTATAACATGTTTATTGACAATTAAAAACCAATAACAGCTTAGATCAATGGTGTGGTATCTTTGACATATATTCCTGTAAACATTTAAACAAGGTCAATCAATCAAATGTATTTTATAAAGCCATTTTTACATCAGCAGTTGTGAAAAAGTGCTTTACAGATACTCATCCTAAAACCCCAAAGAGCAAGCAATGCAGAGCCAGAAGCAAAGTGGCTAGAAAAAACTCCCTAGAAAGCAGGAACCTATGAAGAAACCTAGAGAGGAACTTGGCTCCGAGGGCTTGCCAGTCCTCTTCTGGCTGTACCGGGACCGGTTTGAGTATATGTGGCCAGATCGTTTTTCAAGAAGTTCAAACAAGCAGGACTGTATGGACAGGAGAGAGAGCATCTACATTTCTCACAATATAGTCTCGACAGTATTTATCACTGATATGATAGTTGGTTCTTAGAAACAGTTGTAGGGGGAGTACTATACATGTGTCTAACATAATCCTGCTTGGTGGAAGTGTCAACTTCATCCTCCAGAAGGTTCCCTTCTGATTGGTGAATGGCTAGTTAGGGTGTGGTCAAAGGGCACATAACTGCATGCTATTGCTTTGGGGCTCTTCTGTTGGTTGTTGCTTTTAGTTGGGACCTTGTGTCTTCAATCCAGTTAGGTCAGGACTCAGGAGCAGTGTCCATTATCTAGCGTGCTGTTGGCTAGACTAAACTTTCCTCTGCATGACTGCCTCAGTGTCCACTCTCCTATTAGTTGAGTTGACTAAGATACCCTTCAGTCCCTCAGGTTTAGCCTAATTCTCCTGGCCTCTTACCCATCAGAGGGACACTCATCTCCTGCTCCTTCCCCAGAGATGTCTCTCCAGGCTCCTCTCCTACCTGCGGTGGTGCTGTCTCTGGTTCTGGTTGTGTGGGTTCTGACAGGGCTGACCCATGCCCAGCCCAAGGCTTCTGTCCTGGACTTCTCAGCCAGCCTGGGTAACCTCCTGCCCAGCCTCAGCCGACCAGCCAACTCCAGCCGGATCTTCTATGGGGTAATGTTTGACGCTGGTAGCACTGGGACACGCATCCACGTCTATACCTTCATACAGAAAGACCCTGGTGAGTTATGCTAAAACTCTACTGGCGAGAGAGGGGTTGTTTAGATGCTCCCCGATGTGTTACTTTGTGCAATGCTGTGGTATTGAGATGCCCATTTATTTCAAACAAAATTGAATTGGTATATTATTAGATGCTCATCAATAAACATTAAACTAAATGCACATCTTCATAAAACATCATTAATGTTTGCAAATTGTAAATTAAATACTTATTGCTCCTAGTGGATTTTGTCATCTCAATTGTATGTGTTTTTCTGTTGACGGATCATTCATGTGTACCTTTTGTCTGACAGAGGAGTTACCAGTGTTGGATAATGAGACGTTCCATTCCATCAAGCCTGGTCTGTCAGCATACGCAGACATGCCTGAAATGGTGAGACAGCAGCAGTTGTAATTGTCAATGCAGCAAGTGGTATTCAAATATTTCAAAAACACTTAAAATGGCTTGAGTCCCTAAAATGCACATCATAATCATAATCTCAATCTCCACTACCACATTATCTCCCCAGGGTGGGTATACGGTGAAGCAGCTTCTGAAAGTGGCTAAGAAAACCGTCCCTCGGCTGGAATGGAAGAGAACCCCGCTGGTCCTGAAAGCTACAGCAGGACTCAGGCTGCTGCCCCCAGAGAAAGCTCAGGCTCTGCTGGAACAGGTAGCAGTAGGAGCTAGGGCACTCATAGATCTGATAGGGGGCTAGTGTGTATAGAGTTAGGGGGCTGGGCCACTACTAAATCAGGTATGGCACTGTCATAGGTGTTGACACTACATTCACCCTTTCTGCTGTTATCTCTCCGTCTTCCCACTCCACCCCCCAGGTGCAGGATGTTTTTGATGAATCTCCCTTCTTCGTCCCAGACGACAGCGTCAGCATAATGAATGGTACAAATGAAGGTAACGTCTCGTCTACCCATAACCCCTAGTCAACCTCCAGTCAAACCCATTCATCAGCACTCCTGTGGCAGGCTTCAGCAGTGCTCTCCTCTTGGTGGCATCAGTCACTGTTCTCCTTCGACAGCTTGCTGTACACTTTCTTACCCCGATCTGTTATGATGACGCTGTAGAAAAAGAGGGTTGTTGTTGTTAGAGTCTGTGTTGGTTACACCTCAGAAAGGTATAATTATGTGGTGAATGGATTTAGTGGTTTACCAAACCTTGTGTGGTGTCATTGTGTAACTGATTTGTCAGCATTTTGACCATGTCTCAAATGATAGCCCTCTTACACAAACGAATGTCAAACTAATGCGTATGCATGTCAAACAAGTGATGAGTTAACTGCACTAAACTGCACTGTCAGATCAGTATTAACCCCACTTGAATTTAACTTTTTTGTTCTCGTAGGAATCTTGGCGTGGGTTACTGTGAACTTTTTGACAGGTGAGACTTGTAACTTCTTGTCATAGAACATATTGTAATACATTATTGTCACTTTTCATACAATTTTGGTTAGGCTATTCTATTAACAGGTTGTAGGGTCAGCTATATAATGGAAACACTTGAGTAAAAGTGTACAAAGTACGTATATTGAAAGCAGGTGCTTCCACACAGGTGTGGTTCCTGAGTTAATTAAGCAATTATTATCCAATCATGCTTAGGGAAATGTATAAAGATTCTGGGCATGCCATTATTTTGGCTACTATGTCTATGCCCCCATAGGATGACAATGCCCCCATCCACAGGGCACGAGTGGTCACTGAATGGTTTGATGAGCAGGAAAACGATGTAAACAATATGCCATGGCCGTCTCAGTCACCTGATCTCAACCCAATTGAACACTTATGGGAGATTCTGGAGCGGCGCCTGAGACAGCGTTTTCCACCACCAACAAAACACTAATTAATGGAATTTCTCGTGGAAGAATGGTGTCGCATCCCTCCAATAGAGTTCCAGACACTTGTAGAATCTATGACAAGGTGCATTGAAGCTGTTCTGGTTGCTCGTGGTGGCCCAACGCCCTATTAAGACACTTTATGTTGGTGTTTCCTTTATTTTGGCAGTTACTTGTATATACACATACCTCAGAGACAGCTGAAATGTCAATAATATTTCTCATAAGCCCTGGCTCACCAGAATATAACCTCAATTTATACAGCCAGAGTCGATACTGAGGAGATTTTTATTCCTCAAAGGGACTCTGATCTTTATCAGATCTCCACAGCGTGTTTAACACCTCTAGATACAGATCCTGAACTGTACCAAATCAGCCTTTTGAAGATAACATCTGAAGTGTGTAACTGATTTCTATCTCACCGCTTTCAGAGGGAAATTGTCAATAAAGTTGGTTCAAATGTGAAGCATGTTTTTTAGGTCACCTGTATGCTGAGACCAGGAAGACAGTGGGGATTCTGGATCTGGGGGGAGGATCGACTCAAATCACTTTTCTCCCTAAATCTAAGGTTAGTGTCCATTTGTACAAGTTGATTCATTTTCAATAATGTGTTTCTATATTATGTTGATACAGTTTTTATTGGAATGGTAATACAATTTATTCACGTGTTTCTTTTTCCTGTGCAGAAAACCATTGAAAGTTCTCCTGCTGACTACATTACCAGATTTGACATGTTCAACTCGACATATGAACTCTACACTCACAGGTAAACAATCTACAGTCGTGGTCAAAAGTTTTGAGAATGACACAAGTATTGGTCTGCTTCAGTGTTATGAGATATTTTTGTCAGATGTTACTATGGTATACTGAAGTATAATTACAAGCATTCCATAAGTGTCAAAGGCTTTTATTGACAATTACATTAAGTTTATGCAAAGAGTCAATATTTGCAGGGTTGACCCTTCTTTTTCAAGACCTCTGCAATCCACCCTGGCATGCTGTCAATTAACTTCTGGGCCACATCCTAACTGATGGCAGCCCATTCTTACATAATCAATGCTTGGAGTTTGTCAGGATTTGTGGGTTTTTGTTTGTCCACCTGCCTCTTGAGGATCGACCACAAGTTCTCAATGGGATTAAGGTCTGGTGAGTTTCCTGGACATGGACCCAAAATGTCGATGTTTTGTACCCCGAGCCACTTAGTTATCACTTTTGCCTTATGGCAAGGTGCTCCATCATGCTGGAAAAGGCATTGGTCGTCACCAAACTGTTCTTGGATGGTTGGGAGAAGTTGCTCTCGGAGGATGTGTTGGTACCATTCTTTATTCATGGCTGTGTTCTTAGGCAGAATTGTGAGTGAGCCCACTCCCTTGGCTGAGAAGCAACCCCACACATGAATGGTCTCAGGATGCTTTACTGTTGGCATGACACAGGACTGATGGTAGCGCTCACCTTGTCTTCTCCTGATAAGGTGTTTTCCGGATGCCCCAAACAATCGGAAAGGGGATTCATCAGAGAAAATGACTTTACCCCAGTCCTCAGCAGTCCAATTCCTGTACCTTTTGCAGAATATCAGTCTGTCCCTGATGTTTTTCCTGGAGAGAAGTAGCTTCTTTGCTGCCCTTCTTGACACCAGGCCATCCTCCAAAAGTCTTCGCCTCACTGTGCGTGCAGATGCACTCACACCTGCCTGCTGCCATTCCTGAGCAAGCTCTGCACTGGTGGAGCCCCGATCCCGCAGCTGAATCAACTTTAGGAGACGGTCCTGGCGCTTGCTGGACTTTATTGGGCGCCCTGACGCCTTCTTCACAACAATTGAACCTCTCTCCTTGAAGTTCTTGATGATCCGATAAATGGTTGATTTAGGTGCAATCTTACTAGCAGCAATATCCTTGCCTGTGAAGCCCGTTTTGTGCAAATCAATGATGACGGCACGTGTTTCCTTGCAGTTAACCATGGTTAACAGAGGAAGAACAATGATTTCAAGCACCACCCTCCTTTTAAAGCTTCCAGTCTGTTATTCTAACTCAATCAGCATGACAGAGCGGTGGGTTCGTTTCCCACAGGGGGCCAGTATAAAAAATGCATGCACTCACTAACTGTAAGTCGCTCTGGATAAGAGCGTCTGCTAAATGACTAAAATGTAAATCTCCAGCCTTGTCCTCGTCAACACTCTCACTTGTGTTAACGAGAGAATCACTGACGTGATGGCAGCTGGTCCTTTTGTGGCAGGGCTGAAATGCAGTGGAAATCTTTTTGGGGGATTAAGTTCATTTTCATGTCAAAGAGGGACTTTACAATTAATTGCAATTCATCTGATCACTCTTCATGACATTCTGGAGTATATGCAAATTGCCATCATCAAAACTGAGGCAGCAGACTTTGTGAAAATTAATATTGTGTCATTCTCAAAACTTTTGACCACGACTGATCCACTGATGCAGCAAGTACAAACAGTAATAGGTCTTCATCGCAAGTCCATAATAGGTATTTGTAAAACTGCTATCCAAGTAAGATTAATTGATTGATTTGATTGACAGCTACCTCGGTAATGGATTGATGGCAGCTAGACTGGCAGCCCTAGGAGCACTGGGGGCAGAAGGTACATGGATTACATATTTTACATATCATCCTCAGCATGTTATCTCCATTTAGACAATATAGGTTTTAGAACATGTATCAACTGTTTACTTTGCCATGTTATTCATAGACCCCCATACATTATTTTGTTACTTTACACTCCAGGGTTGGAGTGGAGAGTGTTCAAAAGCTCCTGCCTGCCTAAGAAGTTCAGAGAGGAGTGGAGCTTTGGAGGACTCACCTACACCGTCAGTGGGATACCTGATGGTGAGTCAGCCAACTCATTATATCTGCTAGAAGTACTGTCAAATATGTACTGTAGTAGATCAACCTTGGAACAGTTCTTTGGGTGGTAACACAAAACGTAACATGCCGAGGTACCTCTCAAGGTGTCCTCTATGCAGGGTGGTAGGGTTTACCTGAGTTTGCTCATCGGGGGATTAGGCCTGGGTTGCTGTTGAGCAGTTTGTCACAAATGTGTGTGAAAAGTGCTATACAAATGCATTTCATTGATTGATTAAAAACTTGAGGTCATAAAAGTATCCTGTTTCTGTCCCTGTCCCAGGTTATGCGGGATACAAGCTGTGTTACCAGGAGGTGTTGAAGGTGGTAAAGGGAATGGTTCACCAGCCCTATGAGTTGAAAGACACCAGTGTGTTCTACGCTTTCTCCTACTACTTTGACCGAGCAGTGGATGCAGGTCTTATCGGTGAGAGGAAACACACACACTAGGACTTACACACACTACTTCAACCCAGCAGGGGACTCTTCAGTGAGAGGACACTCACACACACAACCCAGTTAGTATAATTACTCACTGCTAGAATTCCCCTCCTCCCTCTCGACAGGGAAAAATTACTCATTGCTGAGGTGACTGACTCCAGTGTTTCCCCTAGGCTTTCTTTCAGCAGCGGTGGCAAAGTTAGCAGGGTGTGGGGGTAATGGTCGTGGCCAATGCGTGGTTTTAGAGCTAATTTCCTGCAATTCTACACATTTTGCCATTAGGCAGAGAGTACATTTTACAGTTTTAAAGCTAGTTTCCTGCAATTCTACACATTTTGTCATGGGGCTGAGAGAAAAGTTACAGTTTCAAAGCAAATCTCCAGCAAGTCTACTAATTTTGCCATTGGGCGGAGAGTACATTTTACAGTTTTAAAGCTAGTTTCCTGCAATTGCATTTTGAAAAGTGATCTTATTTAAAAATATATTGCTCCATTATATTTTCTACATACTTTATATCTGGTTTCAGTCGTTGAAGTTTACACTGAAAACATTTGACCATCCCTAAATATATATTTTTTGCATTGGCGGCAACGATTTTGCAGCGGCGCGACGCTGCTAAATGCATATAGGGGAAACACTGGACTCAGTGGTGAGTTATCACAGTGGTGTCCATGGTCGTCGACTCATCAGTGAGTGAGATGAAAGGTTGCAGGCCCAATTGTTAGTATGATGGAGATGTACTGTGTAACCCTGCTGTCATTATGAATGATACAGTGTGATGACAGTGCTTCTTTCTGATGGAAAGGTTAACGACCTCCATCGCTCCTCTCTTTCAGACGGGACCCAAGGAGGAATGCTGGAGGTCAGGGACTTCAAGAAGAGAGCTAAAGAGGGTGAGACCCAGATAAGCCTGAGTAGTGGGAAACTTGCTTCTCTGCAGTGTGCATGGCAATGCATTATACCCATATCAGACTTACTGCGCTGTGTACTGGAGAAGTCTCATTGGCTAAAACTGCCTTTTTCTCCTCTTTCCCCTTTACTGCACTGATCTGGAAACTGATTTCTGTTTCTTATTCCAGTGTGTAACAAGATGTCTAAGTACCGTCCGGTCAGCCCCTTCCTGTGTATGGACATGACCTACATCACCTGTCTGCTCAAAGACGGCTTCGGCTTCAAGGAGAACACTGTACTGCAGGTGAGACTGAAGCCATAATACACAATAGTCCTTTCTGGCAAGTCAGTAAAGCAAAACCACACTTTTTAAAGCTAGCAACAAAGAAATTGAGACAGGAGCAGTTAGACGTTTTAATTTATTTAAATAAATACAAAAAGTCAGGTTGAGTGATTTGGTGTGTGTTTTGTCTCCCTTCCCTAGCTGACTAAGAAAGTCAACAATGTGGAGACAAGTTGGGCTTTAGGTGCCACATTCAACCACTTCCAGAACCTAAAGATCCACTGAGAGACAAGGAGCCACAAGTCTGGGTGGGCAGGAGGGGAAAACCCACTGGATTAGATAGTGTTAATAAATAAATGGACTGAGGAATCCTTGTTGTTTTAAACGTAACAGCCTTTATTCCTGCCTTGCTGTGTATTGTAATGTCTTGCATCTTTGACTTACTATTCCACTATCAAGATTTGACATTTCTGAGATAACATTACAATTGTTACAACTATTTTGTTACCCAACACCTAAATGGCTGGTACCATAGTTCAGTAGATCTGTTGTTCTCATGTGACTGGCTGCTATAGCACAGTGGTCTTATATAATATACATCTCTATTAAAGCACTGGGGGCGGCTGCTGACTGAAACTCAACTGACTTGTGTTACTGTATAAAGATGGATATTTTGACCATCTGTTTAATACCACTTGGGTCTGATATTTATTTTCATTAAAAAATAAACTGGTATGTGTGTAGAGCGTGCTTTGCAAAAATATTGTGTTCAATTGTTCTACATGCAGCCCTCTGTGCATCAAATCTTCCTGTGCCTTAGTTCCAATAGCAGCTTGTGAATTTGGAACTGTTTTCAAAGTTTCCTTTCTATTAATGATGGGGGACGAAGCACATTGCTGTGGAGCACATTTCATGTCATTTTCAAATAGTCTTATGTCAGCTAATGACTTGATCAATTTATGTGAATTAAGCTAAAAACAACAGCCTTAATATTGTTTTACAAAAGGGATATCACTGCATTTTAGCCATATCTGCTCCCAGGTGAGCTTACACAATTGATTTAGTATGTTTCACAATGACATCCAGGTAACTATACATGTACTTTCTTTTAATAAAACTCATGATTTGTATACCTGTCTCTTATTTCTTTGGAAAGTCACCTGATAATTCTTTGTATTTATAAACTACAGAAAAAGTTGTCTGTTTGTACAAGTTCTAGAACATTTCATACTGCCTTTTTCTCAAAATAAAACCCTCAGCTAATTACAGATATCTACAGGGCTAAAAGTGAAGGATGCATCTATGTACAGAGAGCTCTGCCTCAAATGCCTGAGATTTGCCCAACAGACTTGACTACAACAGGGCCACCACATCCTCTGCGTACGTGTGGCTTGCCGTTGTCATGGTGACAAGGTCATGGGGTTGTGCGAGAACGACCACTGAGTCTGCCGAGCCTAGAAAGAGGGAGTAAAGGAAGAGATGAGTTCGAAGGAGGGAAGGCATTAAATAAAATAACTTACATGGTCATAGTTAGGCTATGTTCCCCTGGACGATACCCTTGATTTCAGTGAAGTCCTGAATAATATCATAACAGCATCGCTAACTGTAAAAGAGTATTAGGATTGGAGAGTATTGGGGTTTTGCATTTCTGACGGGTTGTATGACAAGGTGTGTGTGTCTACCTTGGCCTCGCAGCATGGCGTGGTGGATGTTAATTGGCTCCACCCCTGTAGTCATGGTGACCATGGTGTCGCCGGGCGACCCGTCGGCCTCCAGTAGACTGCTGTGTGTCAGAGCCTCACCTGTCAATCACACACAGGGGACATGCTGTACATCACAGGTGTGTTTGTGTGTCATATCGAACATTCCAGATGGAAGACAACGGGCTGGTTCCACATACGCACGCACACACAGGTACGTTTGTGCTGGGTTGGAAAAAACGCTTGGAACCAGGCTTGGCGACCACTGGCCTAGTTCATGTGTGTGTTACCCGTTTCTCTGCCCTCGTTCCCCAGAGCCTCCTCTCCGTGTCTCTTCCTCATGTGGACGTTCCTGCTGCCGCTCTGAGAGAACGTCTTCCCACAGATCCCACACTGGTGGGGCTTCTCTCCTGGAACACGATATACACAGTAACACATATCAGTGGCAGCATCTTAAATGGCACCCTATACAGTGCACTACCTTTAAGCATAAGGCCATATGGCTCTGGTCAAAAGGAGTGCACTATATAGGAAATAGGGTGTCATTTAAGACACAACCAGTGACACACACTGAAGCTAAAGTTATGTGTTCATAGACAGTAGGAACTCGATTTCCACATATTCAGTTGACATAGTTAAACAAAGCTAACTGTTGTAATTTCACTATATATAGAATGAAAAGCTGAAACTGGCGTGTTGTTCCCACCTGAGTGTACGAGCGTGTGTTTGCGTAGACTGGAGTACTCAGCGAAGGACCGACCACAACCATCTGCTTCACACAAGAAGGGCTTCTCACCTACAGACAACACACACACCAATTAATGATCACACGTTTCCTACACACACACATGCTTGAAGGTAGATACAGTATTAAGGCTTCTCACCTGTAGACAACACACACACAATGATCACACTTTTTTTCTCAGACCAAGCATTATACCACTCTCTCCCACACAAACACACTTAGCACATATCCTCCCACATCACTGAAAACACTTGAAACATATAAAAGACATTTACTTTACTTCTATGCTGTACTACCGGATACAGAGCAGACTAAAAGAGATGTCCTTCCTGCGTATGTGCGCTTGAGCTCTAGCTCTGTGTACCTCTATGTGTGTGTGTGTGTGTGTGTGTGTGTGTGTGTGTGTGTGTGTGTGTGTCTGACTGTCCCCACCTGTGTGTGTGCGTTTGTGGTTCTTGAGGTTTCCTGCGGTGGTGAACTTCTTGCTACAGTTCTTCTCCTTGCAGATGAAGGGCTTGTCTCCGTTGTGAGTTCTCATGTGGACCTGCAGACGCTGCAGTACGTAGAAACTCTTCCCACAGCCCTCCGCCCCGCACCGGAACGTACGGTCGTTCCTGACACACACACGCAAGCAAGCACATACACAGACGTATATGAACATTTGAGGGGATATTTGAGAATATGGAGAATATGGTGTGTGTGTGTGTGTGTGTGTACCTGTGTGTTTTGAGGTGATATTTGAGGTGAGCAGGCCAGGTGAAGGTTCTGTAGCAGCCCTCAAAGGAGCAGCGGAGGATCTGTTTAGACGACAGCGTACGATTGGTCCTCGTCGGCTGTTCTCTCTTCGCCCCCTCCGACAGGAAGCTGGGCAGGTGGTCACCTAGGCAACAAAAGCAGAGTGATATCATGTACTGAAGTCTTCCTGTGCATTATAGTGCACAGGAAGAGTACCTGCTGCTTTTGCAGCGGCTAATGGGGATCCTAATAAATACCAAATACCCAGTATCAGCTAAATATAACACTTGTTCTTCAGTCAGTGGCCGGTTGGTGAATGTAAACTAGGGCTGACCCCATTTAGTCGACTGGTTGATTTATTTTCATGATGCACAACACAACAATCTGATTGGCGCCTGTCTCAGTGGACTAATCCATTGCGGAGGCCACAGGGATGGCACAGTCCATCACTTAGACATGTGATACTGAAATTGTATATTGTTATATTATGTAAAAAAAATCTAATGTTATTTTATAACAAATGCGCATTCTCACGTGTTGGATATGGTCACGGTTCTGAAACATTATATTCAGTGCACCGTAGAATTGGTGCCTTTCCCCATGTTGCTATGTGCATAATAGCTAAATTAACCAGCATATTGGGATTGAGAACAATGCGGCGGAGGCAGCAGCAGCAGAGACGAGGGAACAGCTCTTGCCTTAAGCCCTATTCAAACTAGATTCATTTAACTGGGGAGGGGAATATAATTATGTGCACAAGCACAAAACAACACATCTGTCATTTTAGTCCTGTCCGAATCTGCCATGGCAGTAATTTGTACATGGCAGGAGAGTAACAATTCCAGCCAGTAAAACATATTGTGCCTATTTAATGTAACCCTTGCTGTTTATAGATAGCAAAGCAGCATAAAACTAACCTAAACGTTTGGAAATTATAAGTTCACTTTCGCATTCATAGACTTAAAAACGCATCCCAAATGCAAGTGCACTGTTTAGCTCACATCTGAAGGCTTGGGGGCATTTAGGACGTCGACTGCGGATCGCTAAAATATTCTAATGATTATGATCACATTTCCTCAATTCAAATATTATGGAGACACTATACCAAAGATGGTTTGGTATGGTTTAGAAACTTGGGAACCAAGCTCGAGTTATCAGTGTAGCCCTATTATCGCCTGGAGTTGTTGAAATATCTTCACGCCTAGAAAAAAACCTCTAGGCTTGCGTCATAACTGTCAATTTATTTGAAAAAAAATTAAGAAATACAGGGGGCAGTTTGGAGAAAAACTAATCCTGTCCGAATGGTCCTCTGGAATAACGGACATTCTGGGGTAATAATTACATAACCAACGTTCTCTAGTAATACTAGTCCTCCTATATGAATAAGCCTTAGCCTAATTGTCTAAGAAAATTGAGGAGAGAGCAAACCAACTTAATTAGGTCTATAATCAATACCCTAACTGTTAAATGTGCCTGGAGTATAGATCATCCATATACAGTACCAGTCAAAGGTTTGGACACACCTACTCATTCCAGTGTTTTTCTTTATTTTTACTATTTTCTACATTGTAGAATAATTGTGAAGACATCAAAACTATGAAATAACACATATAGAATCATGTAGTAACTAAAAAAGTGTTAAACCAAATATATCTTATATTAGTAGCCACCCTTTGCTTTGATGACAGCTTTGCACACTCTTGGCACTCTCTTTTTTTGTTAGAACAGGCTGGTATTCCTTATTATTTAGTGTTGTTTACACTGTTCCAAACAGGCAGAAAAATAAATATTGTAATCTAACAGCACCGGTTTGTACATTTTGTCACACATAATATGCACGCAGCTCTCGCTCCTATACCCTCCTTTTTCTTGGTCTGCTTTTTATTACAATTATTATTATGATCATCATTATAATAATAAGTAATGTCGTTATCATGAGTAGGCTTTGGATAGTAGCCTTGTATAACCACCATTGAGCTGCAGGCCTAAGAGCGCATCCTGTTTAGTCTTAATACCTTAACTTACTTAGGCCTATATTTCTATATATAGGCTACTGAATCAATCAATCATTTATTCGTTCATGCCATCACACAGCATACGAGACATTCATGCTTTGAAATGCAATCAAGCATTTTAGTTTAAATGAAAAAACAAATAATTAGCCTAAACAATAAATAAACTGCAACTGTTTTTAGTCTGCTGTAATAAAAGGCTTTATGTTATTTATTTTTCATTAGACCAGACTCTCTGGTATACTTATTTATTTAGTGTTGTTTACACTGTTCCAAATGGTCAGAAAAAGGAATAATAATGTAATCTAACAGCAACTGTTTGGCACACATAATACTCACGCAACAGTTGCTCATATACCCTCCTGCACGCACCACTTTTCCGTTATTATTTCAAATTTTTTGAAACAAGTAATTTTTTTCATTTAACTTCTCCAATTTGGACTATTTTCTGTATGTCCATTACATGAAATCCAAATAAAAATCCACTTAAATTACAGGTTGTAATGCAACAAAATAGGAAAAACGCCAAGGGGGATGAATACTTTTGCAAGGCACAGTAAGTCAAATGTCTTCCACAGATCTGACTTCTCCTTTCCTTCCTGAGCAACCAGTAAACATTCGCCTGTTTCGAGTTTCTTTTTCACGTCCTCCGCATCCATTTCTGTCGACATTACTGTGTTCCGAGTCTGTTATGACCAATATATTGATGTCATTATGATAGGCTATAGGTCAGGCCCTATTGGACACATGCATGTGATGCTTACATGTTTCACGTAAAGAGAGCAAGGGTTGAGGGAATAGGGAATGTGTTTCCTAAACAAATTAGGGATTTCGGTTACAGAACTTCTGTCTGAAACAAGTAAGAAACTAAATGGCTGAAATTATGTTTCAGCTTCAGCACGGACAGCACAATAGACACCTGCTGTGCTGTGGTGCCTTTCCGCAGCAGTAGGGAGGAGAGTGAGACAGCGTGCGTCAGTCACACAGGCACTCACTGTCATTTTTTTTAACAAAGTGTGACCATCAGGCTCTTTCTTGAGTCATTTGTGTGTCTTCATTATTGAATCAAACAGTGTGCTTAAAGCATCAGACAAGCTCAGTGCATATGTAGTTGGTTTTATTCAAACACATAAGGTGTGTAAATAGAAAAATAATTGAAAGAACACAACTCTCGGTCGACCAATCTTTTTTTTTTTTTTTTTTTTTTTTTTTTTTTTTTTTTGGGGACAGCCCTACAGTAAACCATCATTAAAAGTCAACCCACCACCATAAAAACCCATCAAAAAAATAAGTGAGACATTACTGTTGCTGCCATTCCCAGCCCTAGCGTCCTGGCTAGCCTTGGCATCTTTAGCCAGCTGTGCCCGCGTTGCTGCGATGAGGCTGTCGTGTGCCAGCTCCTGTACCCGCAGGTACCAGGGGGCAGTGCCGTCCAAGCCACACTCCCCAGACGAGATCACCTCTTCTTCCTCCTCCTCTGCCCCATCTGCTGAGAAGATTAGTGGCTCAGAGGAGGCTGCTAGGCCTGGAGAAAGAGGGTGGGAGGGTGGAGCAGGAGAGAGTTTGTCAGGGCATGATGAAGTGTCCTTGTCACGTTATCTCAGTCCTACAATATAAACAAAACAAGGTCATAAGAGAATAAATGTGATCATTTGCCAGACAGAGACAGAGCATAGCACAGACAGATCATCCAGAGATGAGATAATGACACTTGTCGGTGCATTTGCTTGACATTTCAAAGCTGCTTTGTCACACCAAAGTACAGATAACAATTAAATACAGCATTCATTTCAATACTAGGGATGAGCACGGTTATTCGAATATCAGATTGGATGATAAATAACATATGGCAGCTGCGAGTTGACTAGACGACATTGTGTCTCTCTCCACCTCCCTGAACACCATTTCCTCACACACCGACCCCTCCCACACCCGCTTCTGCAGCAGCAGAGTCACCGTATCTCCCTCGTGCAGCAACTGTTCAGGTTAAAAAAGCTAAGTAAAAAATAGTATTTGGACAAATTTCACAAAAAGTGTACCAAAGTACATGGTCAAAAGTATGTGGACACCCATTCAAATTAGTGGATTTGGTTATTTCAGCTACACCTGTGTATAAAATCGAGCACACAGCCATGCAATCTCCATAGACAAACATTGGCAGTAGAATGGCCCGTACTGAAGAGCTCAGTGACTTTCAACATGACACAGTCATTGGATGCCACCCTTCCAACAAGTCAGTTCATCAAATTTCTGCCCTGCTAGAGCTGCCCCGGTCAACTGTAAGTGCTCTTATTGTGAAGTGGAAACGTCTAGGAGCAACAACGGCTCAGCCACGAAGTGGTAGCCCACACAAGCTCACAGAATGGGACCGCCGAGTGCTGAAGTGTGCGGCGCGGTTGCAACACTCACTACGGAGTTCCAAACTGCCTCTGAAAGCAAAGTCAGCACAAGAACTGTTCGTCTGGAGCATAATGAAATGGGTTTCCATGGCCAAGCAGCCACACACAAGCCTAAGATCACCATGCGCAATGCCAAGCGTAGACTGGAGTGGTGTAAAGCTCGCCGCCATTGGACTCTGGAGCAGTGCAACTTTGTGGCAACAGTTTGGGGAAGGCCCTTTCCTGTTTCAGCATGACAATGCCCCCGTGGACAAAGCGAGGTCCATACAGAAATGGCTTGTAGAGATCAGTGTGGAAGAACTTGACTGGCCTGCACAGAGCCCTGACCTCAACCCCATCGAACACCTTAGGGATGAATTGGAACGCAGACTGCGAGCAACGCCTAATCACCCAACATCAGTGCCCGACCTCACTATTGATCTTGTGGCTGAATGGAAGCAAGTCCTCGCAGCAATATTCCAACATCTAGTGGAAAGCCTTCCCAGAAGAGTGGAGGCTGTTATAGCAGCAAAGGGGGGAGCAACTCCACATTAATGCCCATGACTTTGGAATGAGACGTTCGATGAGCAGGTGTCCACATACTTTTGTTTAGCATTTGATCCCATTTTCCTAGCACACAATGACTACATCAAGCTTGTGACTCTACAAACTCGTTGGATGCATTTGCAGCTAGTTTTGGTTGTTTTATCTATTTATCCTGGTACTGGTCACTATTACTCTGGTTTACATGTATATATTACCATTAATATATTACCATAAGTATTTATATATTCCTGCTTCCAGTCACTTTTCAGCCCTGTTTACATGTACATAAATAAAGGGAACACTAAAATAACACATCCTAGATCTGAATGAATGAAATAATCTTATTAAATACTTCTTTCTTTACATAGTTGAATGTGCTGACAACAAAATCACACAAAAATGATCAATGGAAATCAAATGTATCAACCCATGGAGGTCTGGATTTGGAGTCACCCTCAAAATTAAAGTGGAAAACCACACTACAGGCTGATCCAACTTTGATGTAATGTCCTTAAAACAAGTCAAAATGAGGCTCAGGAGTGTGTGTGGCCTCCACGTGCCTGTATGACCTCCCTACAACGCCTGGGCATGCTACTGATGAGGTGGCGGATGGTCTCCTGAGGGATCTCCTCCCAGACCTGGACTAAAGCATCCGCCAACTCCTGGACAGTCTGTGGTGCAACGTGGCGTTGGTGGATGGAGAGAGACATGATGTCCCAGATGTGCTCAATTGGATTCAGGTCTGGGGAACGGGCGGGCCAGTCCATAGCATCAATGCCTTCCTCTTGCAGGAACTGCTGACACACTCCAGCCACATGAGGTCTAGCATTGTCTTGCATTAGGAGGAACCCAGGGCCAACCGCACCAGCATATGGTCTCACAAGGGGTCTGAGGATCTCATCTCGGTACCTAATGGCAGTCAGGCTACCTCTGACGAGCACATGGAGGGCTGTGCGGCCCCCCAAAGAAATGCCACCCCACACCATGACTGACCCACCGCCAAACCGGTCATGCTGGAGGATGTTGCAGGCAGCAGAACGTTCTCCACGGCGTCTCCAGACTCTGTCACGTCTGTCACATGTGCTCAGTGTGAACCTGCTTTCATCTGTGAAGAGCACAGGGCGCCAGTGGCGAATTTGCCAATCTTGGTGTTCTCTGGCAAATGCCAAACGTCCTGCACGGTGTTGGGCTGTAAGCACAACCCCCACCTGTGGACGTCGGGCCCTCATACCACCCTCATTGAGTCTGTTTCTGACCGTTTGAGCAGACACATGCACATTTGTGGCCTGCTGGAGGTCATTTTGCAGGGCTCTGGCAGTGCTCCTCCTGCTCCTCCTTGCACAAAGGCGGAGGTAGCGGTCCTGCTGCTGGGTTGTTGCCCTCCTACGGCCTCCTCCACGTCTCCTGATGTACTGGCCTGTCTCCTGGTAGCGCCTCCATGCTCTGGACACTACGCTGACAGACACAGCAAACCTTCTTGCCACAGCTCGCATTGATGTGCCATCCTGGATGAGCTGCACTACCTGAGCCACTTGTGTGGGTTGTAGACTACGTCTCATGCTACCACTAGAGTGAAAGCACCGCCAGCATTCAAAAGTGACCAAAACATCAGCCAGGAAGAATAGGAACAGTCCTTTATTGGGGGTGTCTTGCTAATTGCCTATAATTTCCACCTGTTGTCTATTCCATTTGCACAACAGCATGTGAAATGTATTGTCAATCAGTGTTGCTTCTTAAGCAGACAGTTTGATTTCACAGAAGTGTGATTGACTTGGAGTTACATTGTGTTGTTTAAGTGTTCCCTTTATTTTTTTGAGCAGTGTATATCCTACCACCAGTCACTTTTTATGTATAAACCAACCTCAACCACTCCAGTACCCCTGCACATTGAATAAGGTACTGGCACTGACCTGTACATACATATATTCTCGTGTTTCTTCAACGTATATCGCACTTCCGGTGTTTTTTTATTTTATTATATTTTCTATATTAATATTACCATCACTGCAACCGGCCGTGATCGGGAGTCCCATAGGGCGGCGCACAATTGGACCAGCGTCAGCCTAACGGGGGCTTTACTTGGCTCATCACGCTCTAGTGCCTCCTTGTGGTGGGCCGGGCGCCTGCAGGCCGACCTCGGTCATCAGTTGAACGGTGTTTCCTCTGACACATTGGTGCGGCTGGCTTCCGGTTTAAGCGGGCGGGTGTTAAGATGCGCGGTTTGGCAGGTCAATGTTTTGGAGGATGCATGACTCGACCATTGCCTCCCGAGCCCGTTGCAGCGACGAGACAAGATCGAAATTGGGGAGAAAAAGGTGGTAAAAAACAAACAAAATAAACAAAAACAAAAATATCATGAATAATGATGAGTAAGAAAGTTACAGAGGCTAGATTTCGGTTCCTGGCCCAACACTCTTAACCTCTAGGCTACCTCACTCATCATGATTATCCCATAATCATAGTAGCATCCACATTCATGTAGAAGTGTTCACAAACATCTTCTATAATAAAAATGACACAATACATTATTCACCATTCACTTCCTATTGGACAAAACAGAATCTGAAACACAACAAAAACAAGCTGTAAATGCATCAAACTGGTTTGTAGAGTCACAAGCTTGATGTAGTAATTGTGTCAGGAATATGGGACCAAATAATAAACCTTTGACTACTTTAACACACGATAAGTGATATTTGTTCAAATACTTAGGTCAGCTCCCACTCAGCCCAGTCAAAGTTCTTCTCTGTCCTGGTACCCCAATGGTGGAACCAGCTTCCCCATGATGCTAGGACAGCAGAGTCCCTGCCCATTTCCGAAAACATCTGAAACCCTCTTTCTTCAAAGAGTATCGACATCTCCTATTCACATTACAGCACCACATGCAGGCATGCCCTAGAGGAAAGGAAACTGTCTATTTACATTTACATTTTAGTCATTTAGCAGACGCTCTTATCCAGAGCGACTTACAGTTAGTGAGTGCACACAATTTCATACTGACCCCCCTGTGGGAAACGAACCCACATCCCTGGCGTTGCAAGCGCCATGCTCTATCAATCAATCAATCAATCAATTTTATTTTATATAGCCCTTCTTACATCAGCTAATATCTCGAAGTGCTGTACAGAAACCCAGCCTAAAACCCCAAACAGCTAGTAATGCAGGTGTAGAAGCACGGTGGCTAGGAAAAACTCCCTAGAAAGGCGAAAACCTAGGAAGAAACCTAGAGAGGAACCAGGCTATGAGGGGTGGCCAGTCCTCTTCTGGCTGTGCCGGGTGGAGATTATAACAGAACCATGCCAAGATGTTCAAAAATGTTCATAAGTGACAAGCATGGTCAAATAATAATCAGGAATAAATCTCAGTTGGCTTTTCATAGCCGATCATTAAGAGTTGAAAACAGCAGGTCTGGGACAGGTAGGGGTTCCATAACCGCAGGCAGAACAGTTGAAACTGGAATAGCAGCAAGGCCAGGCGGACTGGGGACAGCAAGGAGTCACCACGGCCGGTAGTCCCGACGTATGGTCCTAGGGCTCAGGTCTCTCAGTTGGCTTTTCATAGCCGATCATTAAGAGTTGAAAACAGCAGGTCTGGGACAGGTAGGGGTTTCGTAGCCGCAGGCAGAACAGTTGAAACTGGAATAGCAGCAAGGCCAGGCGGACTGGGGACAGCAAGGTGTCATCATGCCCGGTAGTCCTGACGTATGGTCCTAGGGCTCAGGTTCTCAGAGAGAAAGAGAGAACGAGAGAATTAGAGAGAGCATACTTAAATTCACACAGGACACTGGATAAGACAGGAGAAGTACTCCAGGTATAACCAACTAACCCCAGCCCCCCGACACATAAACTACTGCAGCATAAATACTGGAGGCTGAGACAGGAGCGGTCCGGAGACACTGTGGCCCCATCCGAAGAAACCCCCGGACAGGGCCAAACAGGAAGGATATAACCCCACCCACTCCGCCAAAGCACAGCCCCCGCACCACTAGAGGGATATCCCCAACCACCAACTTACAATCCTGAGACAAGGCCGAGTATAGCCCACAGAGGTCTCCACCACAGCACAAACCAAGGGGGGGGCGCCAACCCAGACAGGAAGATCACGTCAGTAACTCAACCCACTCTACCAACTGAGCTACAGGGGACTTGCCCATATAGAAATATGGTGATAGAAGTGTTATATATATGATTTGTTTTATGCCTGGGGCCTGCGTCTCCATACCTTTGGCGAGGTTGAGTAGGACATAGGAGGTGCTCTCTGACCGCTGCAGGTCATGGAGGACGAGAGGGGGGCTGGGGGGCGTGTAAGGGTTGCGGGGGTGGTGGTGGTGCACCACCATGGAGCTCCGCTCTGCGCCCCCAAACTCCGAAAGGGAAGGAGACCTCGCTGACACATGGCTGAGACCACCCTCTGGGGAACCAATCACAGATTACATTAGTGCCTAGAGGACCAATGAGAGAGCATGTTCATAGAGAGATTTAGTCCAAGTTGGAATATGTCATATGAAAAACACAAGGTCTCTATATGGTAGATTGTATATGATGATTTCCAGTCATTATGTTTGATGGCTGTCTGATGCTGTCTGTCTGACCTGTCAGGCCCAGCTGTGTGCATAGGGAGCTGTCTGCGGGGGCCAGCAGGGGAAGGCAGATGTGTTTGGGCTCTGAGTCCTCCAGACCCTGCCCCAGTGGGATGGATGCGTTCTGGACAAACTGAACCAGCAGCTGCAGAAGTGAGGAAGAGAGAATCTATCAAACAGTTCTGTAGCTAAGGGTGGATCTGTAAATGCAAATGGAAGACTCCAGATACATACCACCATGTATTAGTGTTGGCAGGTGAATAGCGTGGAGTTCTTACCTCAGGTTTGGAGTCAAACTCATCTGACAGCATGGATTACGCCTTGAGAGATCTGTTGGGATAAATCAAACTATTCATCAAACTGAGGAGGAATTTTCATCCTTACACAAACTTACTGTACTTTACTATCCATTACTTACCCCCAAAATGAGCTGTTAAGTGAGATGTCCTATTAGGGTTGGGGTGAGAATGATCATCTCGGTTTCATCAGTTTCCAGTGCTTTCCATTCATGAAGTCATCATAAACCTAAATAGATTATATCAACCTCTTTGGTTGAATGACTTGTTGAAGCTAGCAACCAACATCTCAACAAAAGTGCATGCTGGATACAAAGTTTATTAGTTTACAACTGAGATGTTAGTCCGTAAACTCACTATGAATCACAACAAGCGTTGCATAGTTGTAGATATCTGTGAAAGCTAACGAGTTAGCTGGCTAACTAGCACAGCCTCTATGTTTAGCTAATGCAACATCAATAATGTTGGCTGCCTAGCAAACTACTACCACCACCACCACCACCACCCCCACCAGCACAGCAGCTACTATTTCTCCAAACAGAATATAGCTACATCCCAGTTACGATAGATTACCGTTGTGTTACTTACTGGTCAACATTAAATCCAGAGTTTCTAAACCCATAGCCGCAACATCGCGAGACTTCCGGGAACGCTTGTGAAACAGACCAAACAGACCAGGTCGGGGTTTGGGGTTTGGGGTTTGAGAAATCAATGTGAGAAGTACAAAATAATTCCTTAGTTGGTCATTTTCTCGAAATCTAAAGGAACAACCTTGAATCGAGCAAATGTCTTAAATATTTGAACATGTCATTACTCCAACCTCCTGAAAGTGACAAACTGACAAGTTTTCATTTTCGTCAAAAACCACCATATCCAAGGAGTGCCTTTGATTGGACGGCCTGCACATGCGCAGTTCCGCGCGAGACGACCGTTGGACCCGATGCAAACGTCGCCATGACATCGCATACAAGCGTGATCGAGGATTTCTATTGGATAAGCAGTTTCTGCCTATCTTTATACTGTATGGTCTTTGTTAATTCCCATTAAAGATAAAAAGGTGGATTGAAAACTGTGGCTAGTTTAACGTCAGCTAGCTAGCGGGTGAGTTTGTTAACATTGCAGTTAATAGCTTGCTAGCTTCTTATGCCAAAACAAAGCTTCTCAACAGTCAATCTATGTCGCACATCTACGCTATTATCAATACACTAAGACAATAAATGAATTACTAAAGATTAATTTAAACGTTTTACCTTGTTTCCTTATTTGTACATCAAATAAATGTACCAAACAACCCAATTCTACGGCACTTCTTGAGAGATAAAAATGGTACTTCCGCATTTCAGTTTTTTGCAAAAAGGAAAGGGCAGTTGATATCTGCTGGTTGTTGTGTGGTGTGTCAGCTGTAGTCTCGCGTTACCATACCTCCAAAATCTCGTCGTCACCTCTCCGGTTCCCGTTAAGGGAAGCCTGCTTTTAATAATATAAAAATAATAATATGCCATTTAGCGGACGCTTTTATCCAAAGCGACTGACAGAAATGTGTGCATACATGAAATACAGTACTATCACTCCCTTCGCCAGTAGGAGTGAGTATAATTCTAAATTATCAAGAGAAAATAACCTACTACATTTGTTCGTCTGCTTTCTTTTTACTATTTTTGTGGGATGCGGGAGTATTTGTATAGCGAAATACTTATTTTTAATAAATATAACATGTTAGGTTTCACTATATTGCCAAAGTCTATTCACATGCGCTATCCAACTACAGGACGGGGTATTGACCTGCTTCGTTTCTGACCTGGGCCGGTACACCCCTCCTTAGACGACCTGGTAATCTCAGGCTCCCCCAGGAACACCATACCGATACCGAACTTAGTGCGGACACCCATTCCACATAGTGCGATGCAGCCCAGAACTCCTCAGCTCATTCGATCCAAAAAACCTCAGCCTCAAGGTGACTTGGATTACAGGCACTGCGCCCAGCAAGAATCTCAGGTGCAGATAAAGTGCATGGAGGTAGGAAAGTGTAACGGAATTTCGAAGGAAGGCTGTCGGCCTCAAAGACAATATATATTTTATCTACAGTCGACTTCCAGGAAGAAGTTAACGATAGCTTATAATAAAATGTATAATGTTTATAGGTCATTTTAGTTCAGTCTCTTAAATCTATGTCAGTCTTGTCAAAGCAATGATTTCTGTGTGTATTTATTTAATGATCATACAGAATGTGTGAAAGGGAATGAACAATATCAGTGTTTTACATGCTACCCTGATTAGTTAAAAGTATATAGACAGAGAGGAAGAGGCTAAGCTCGACTATACTCTCCATCTTTCTTTTATCTCAACAAAGGCACAATACAGTTGTTAACCTTTCTACTGTCTGGGTCAGCTCTAAAATAAATTGAAATAACTTTTTGAAAGAAGAACAGCCTTTGTACGTAAATATGGACTTTCCCTCGTGTACCATGCTTGTAGTGCTGGTTTCTTTTTACTTGTTTTGTGTGATGCGTGAGTATTTGTAAAACGAATTACTTTTTTAACAACTACAACTAAATTAACAAATAAGGATTGGGTTTCGCTATATTGCCAAGGCTGCGCTGCAGCTTCTATTCAAGGCGCTATCCCACTACTGGACGGCACGGGGATTTTGACCTGCTTCGTTTCCGACCTGGGCCGGTACACCCCTCCTTAGACGACCTGGTGATCCCAGGCTCCCCCAGGAACACCATACCGATACCGAACTTAGTGCGGACACCCATTCCACATAGTGCAATGCAGCCCAGAACTCCTCAGCTCATTCGATCCACCAACCTCAGCCTCCCAGTGACTTGGATTACAGGCACGCGCCACTGCGCCCGGCGAGATACTCTGCTGCAGGTAAAGTGCATGGAGGTAGGAGAGTGTAACGGAATTTCGAAGGAAGGCTGTCGGCCTCAAAGACAATATGTATTTTATATACAGTCGACTGCCAGGAAGAAGTTAACGGTAGCTTATAATAAAATGTATAATGTTTATTGGTCATTTTAGTTCAGTCTCTTAAGTCTATGTCAGTCTTGTCAAAGCAAGGATTTCTGTGTGTATTTATTTAATGATCATACAGAATGTATGAAAGGGAATGAACAATATCAGTGTTTTACATGCTACCCTGATTAGTTAAAAGTATATAGACAGAGAGGAAGAAGCTAAGCTCGACTATACTCTCCATCTTTATTTTATCTCAACAAAGGCACAATACAGTTGTTAACCTTTCTACTGTCTGGGTCAGCTCTAAAATAAATTGAAATAACTTTTTGAAAGAAGTACAGCCTTTGTACGTAAATATGGACTTTTCCCTCGTGTAACATGCTTGTAGTGGCTGGTTCGTTTTACTTGTTTGTGGATGCGCGAGAATTTGTAAACAATTACTTTTTTAACAATACAACTAAATGAAATTAATCTGCTTCGTGAAACTATTGAAATCCACTATAGACATTTATTGCCTTTCCTACGCTACATATGGACTTTTCCCTCGTGTAACATGCTTGGCCGTTAATGTGCTTGGTTGGTTCTTAACGCGCAGGCCGAAATAAAAAAAATAACAAAAAAATAATAAAGATTAGGTTGCCTGGCAATCGCTGGAATTTGACCCCGGCACTCAAACACCTTCATACATGAGAAGGGTGTAACTGTTTCAAAGGAAGTTTTCCCTAAAAGAAATTTTTTATCCCCCACGTACCGGATTAATATTTATGATTTGACTTTTTTTTTTCCCAATTATCAGTCTTTTTTTAAAACTTTTTGGCCGGCATTTAATAAATCAAATGGAACGGAATAAAAAATTTAACATTAATTTTAGTTAAATTAAACGGGAAGAAAATAGCTCTTACTCTCTATTTTATGGTTTTAAAATTTTTTTACCTTCCACCGGGTCCTAAATAATTAAATAACGAAAAAACCGAACTATTGGACTTCCCTTTTAAAGGGGGGTTTTTTACCTTTTGGGCTCAGTATTTTGTAAACGATACTTTTTAACACTCCTTTCAAAAAATTTGATAAATTTGCTTAGTTTGGGCTCCCCCCTCGGGAGGCAGGAATTTCCTGTTTGGGGTCTAAAATATCCCCTTACTTTTTCCCCAAAACCTTTCCGAATTTGCGGCACCATTCTTTAATTTCTCAATAGAGATACCCCTTAACCTCCCTAACTTATTAGCGGGCCATGCCCCGGCAAATACCTCTTAAAGGGGAAGGCCAAAAATTTGCGCCAAGACTTATTTTTCATAACAAAATCCCAGGAAGAATTACGCTTTAAAAATAAGTTTTTGCATTTTTTGTTTTAGTTACTTTTTTTCAAAGGGGTTGGATTTATTTTTAAACACAGATTATAAGGGCAGAAAATTTTGTAGTGCTCACTCTATTGATACGTTTAACGCAGGTACTGACTTCTTCCCCTTAATCCAACACACAACAAATGTTACCATTCCTTGGGCAGCTCAAAACTATCAATCTTTTTAAAATCAGCTTTGTAACTAAATTGGCTTCCCCAGCTGCGTTTGCTTATTATTGCTTTGGGGCGAAAATATATCAGTTTTTTTAGAATAAAAAGGATAGTTGACGCAAAGTGCCGGCTGCTCATTTATTAAGGGCAAAATGGCGACGGATTTACTCTTGTTCATTTTGGTTAATCTACCCTTAGACTGTATCAGTCCCAGGAACCTTACCTACGAATTTTGGGAATTCACATATGCAACCAAAAATTCCCCATCATTTTTACAACTAGCCCCCCAAATCTTTTTCATGCATCACCAGAAATACTTGAGGAAGTGGAGCGTTTTAACGATTTCATGAACTTTGTCTAAACAATTGTTTTTTGTACTCGTGAAGAATTAAGTGTTATAATAATTTAATTTTGTTTGTAGCTTTGTAAGCCCCCTGCGTTGTACAAGGATATATCGAACAAATTACCTAAAAGCGGCGCATCTTTCAGGTATCCCACTCCCGGGATTTTACCTTTTTTCGCCTCCTACTTGCAGCACGGA